ACCATTACTATGTTGACATTTTTCAGAAATATTTGACATTTTACTGCCAAATGGTTCCGGACATTAAAGTATCTGTTAAATACACACACAAACTAAATAAAAAAAAATTGTTGTACCAAATCAAATACTTAATTATCAATAAATTTATTTCCAATACTATAACTTATTTACAGTACAATCTATAAAACATTATATTATTACCAATGTGATTGTCTTTAATTATCCGAATAATTTTCCCGAATATGTTATTTTTTACCGACTTTAAATCCAGACATTAAGCAGTTTTCGTCTCACGACGTTAACCTTAACGTTAACGGATGACGTCATAATGTATTCATCTTGCGTTGCGGAGTACGTTAATTTCAGGATTTTACGTGCTCGACGTACGTTAGTTACGGGTTTGCACATGCGTATTTCGATTTGTTTACAAAAGGGCGGAGCTATTGCTCTGAATGTTGGGTATTAACGTTAAAGTTAAGGTTAACGTCGTGCATCGAAAACTCACTAGTAAATATCACACACACAAAACCTATAAACAAATTTGCAGTTTATAACAAATGCGGTACTATTGTCAGTATGGCTATTTTATAGTCTTTATTTCATTTCATTTCATTTTTTCATTTATTCAATATCCAGGTAAAAGCAGAACAAGACAAAACAAACAACAAACAAGATGTTCATTACCTGAGGATTGCCAAAAGTGTACTAACACTATCAAGTGGTTCTCCTATACTAAACATCTTTACATAAAAATATACACACAGGTCAGCAATAGACTAAAGAAATTAAAATTTAAATTATAATAAGATTCCAGTAAAATAGTTTACAGAGAACATATAGAATTATAAAATGAATTTTTAAAACAATTAAAACTATCTAGAATAAGCATTCTTATTTCAGGGCAGATAGATTGCCACAAACGAGGAAAATTTATAAAAACCGAGTTCTTAAAAGAATGTGTCCTTGCGAACTTATGTTTTAAAATTACAGTTTCGAGATGACCATTATTAATATCAATAAATTAAATATGTTAAAATCATTAAAATTATAGAGACACTTAACGATAAAAATAATGCTATGATATTCAAGTCTCTGCTCTATACTAGGCGGGTTCAATAAATTGAGTAGGTCTGTAAATTCTCCCTTAACACAAAGTTTGATGACACGACGCAGAGGCTTATTAATAGCAGCATGCTTCATTTGATGGGGAACCCATATAGGAGCCCTGCGTACTCGAGAATGGGCCTACAGAGAGCATTGAAAAGGTAAAGGAGGCTTCTGTGGTCATTATAAGCAACGAAGCGTTTAATGAAACCGAGAATCTGAAGCGATTTGTTGGGGACAGTGGAAACGTGTGATGACCATGAAAGATCATTAGAGGAAGATATGCCAAGATATTTGTGAGAAGATGTGCAAGACAGAGGATCTGAGTCAATAGTATATGTGATGTGGGGAATGAAGTTTCTTTTGCGAGTAACATGAAGGACTTGCACTTATTAGAGTTTAATTTCATCATATTTTCTTTGCACCAATGAGAGATAGAATTTAGATCATACTAAAGTTGACGAGAGTCGTGATCACTTTTAATTGCTCTGAAAACAACAGTATCGTCAGAATATAGCCTGATTTGAGATGATATTGCTCTGGGGAGGTCAAACACAAAAGCATTAAATAGAAGCCGGCCAAGTACAGATCCATGTGGGACTCCAGAATAAACCTGAGCCCACTCGGAGGCCTGTGTCTACGCAAAATAACTCGCTGGGATCTACCCACGAGAAAAGACTTAAGCCAATTGAAAGATTTGAACCACAAATACCCATACCATAAAGTCATAAAGTTTTTGTATTAGTTTACTGAGGCGCACACGATCGAACGCTTTTTCCCAGTCCAGAAAAGTAGCATCAATTACAGGTGGATTTACAGCATCAAGTGTTTTGGACCATTCATGATAAAGGGATGCAGTTTGTGATCTACGTGGGTGAAAACCACGTTGAGATGGACTAATAAAACCATTAAATTGAAAATAGAAAAACAATTCATCAGCACCTATACGCTCCAGAACTTTACCAACAATCGACACATGTTTATGGGTCTATAATTACAGTACTAATTTAATTCTTATGCTACAATCAATACCAATTTGTTTGAGTTTCTAATTGGATTCGAAAGAAATATTAGTTATTGCAAAACTTGTGGCAATAACATATAGAGCAGAATTATTTTGCTTAAAACAGGAATATTTAAATTGCTAAAAAAAGTTTGTCTATTCTTTTCCACACAAGATGGGCCCGATATTGATCTCTCATGGGCGCGGCCCGATCGAATGTATCACTCGTTTGAAGGCTAGACCTAAGTCTAATAAATGTGTTTAAAAATTAATATCAAATACAGCTGATCCAAACTGTGTTGATAATTATTGTAAAGACGGTCTGTTACCATAGGACTTTAGCTACTGAAATCCAGACGTTTACCTACTTAGTACCGCGTACCTACTTAGTACTGCGTAACGTTTACCTACTTAGCCCGCTTCTATTTAATGTGAGTATATTGTGTAGCACTGCAGGAAAACTGAAGTGGAAATGACAATAAACCATGTGCGCAGCCAAATATTTTCGAATGCTCAAAAACTACGGTTAAAGTCATAATTTTACAGTCAAAGTAAAGCAAAATATGGATTGATATTCACGTTGTCTGTTTAGAAAAATTGATAATCTATGTTGTTAGAGTTTTTCAGATCGGTAGGTCTAGAAACCAAGACGTTTATTGAGTACCTTGGTTTTGCATTGTGTCTACAGCCTTTGAAATAAGTATAATTATAATATAGACTACTTTCCTTTATCGCTAACTATCCTTATTATTTAAAAAAAATTTAATTTATCCACTTTGGTTATTTTATCCAATTTGGCTATTTACATTATAATATACCTTCTTTATTTTCATTGTTAGATGCATTGTTATGTTAAATGTCATTTACATGAAAAAAGGGATAAACAATTGTGTGTCCAAAGCAAAGACAAAATCAAAATACAATAATGTAGGGTCAGGTTTATTTTTGATCAATCACCGTGTCAAAACTTGTTGTAAATCCATTGCACGTGCCATCCGTTTCTCCACTAAATTTTCAATGCAAATCAATGTTATGTGCAACCCACTTTCCTGTTCTAAAACTGTTGGCCCCCACCCCCTTTGAAAAATTCTGTATCCGCCTCTGGTCAGGCAAATTTTGGTGCCATCCCAGCCACGAAGGCGAAACCCATATGGGATCTCCTGACGATGTCGACTAGCCTGCGTACTAGCAATAAACTCAAAATGCAAATACAGTTCTGTTTTCTTTTATTTCTAATATTTCTTCTAAGCTCTATTATTTCTTGATTTGGGTTCAGTTCCATTAGTTTCATATTACGTCAGGGGTGGCGCCAGCGGGGGGAGGCCCAGGGCGCCCCCCCCCCCTGTCTAGGAGAGCTCTCCCCCCGCCGGGGAGAAAAAGCACAATTTGTCGGGGAGAAAAAACAATTATATGCATTTTCTACATATTAGTAGACTCTAAAATCGATCAAATAAATCTTGAAACCCATAAATTGTCAAAATTTTCGGGAGCTTTTCCCCGAGGACCACTTTCGTAACCTTTTAATCGAAGGTCAACCACGCCCACTTTGCTTTCGTCCGGGAAATCTGATCCCTCGTCGGGGCATCGGCCCCCGTCGGGGACCTCTGTTCCCCTCCCCCCGTCGGGCAAATCCTGGCGCCACCCCTGTATTACGTTCCGTTAATTTCCGATTTACTGAAATAATTATTAAAATAATTCTTGCATAACAATTATAATGGTCAACGATAACAATTCCTATTAATAATATACATCAACTATAATAGTTCTCTAAAGAAAGCAAATTTTCAGTGACTCTTCAAATTCTTTATCGTAATATTATGTTAACAACTAATACAGTTATTATTATAGAAAATTAATTAAGATAATGATGGTCTATTATGAATCATGAGGAAATAGTTTTTTAACCACAGAGGGCAGCTTAATATTCATCCGCGTTAACGGATCTTCAAAAAATCGTCTGCTATTAAAGTTAGCCCTTTTCACTGGTTTGTTTGATAGTCGTGGCTTGCCAGTCGTCTTCCGTTGAACTAAAACTAGGGCTCGATTAGTCGTAGTTAAATCTTCGACTAAGTTGTTTGTGAATACTAATTGAAGTTGAAGTTGCAACTAGCACTAAATGAAGTTCTAATCGAAGTTCCACTAAAGTTTGTTTTAAGAACACGGGCGTAAGCTATGCTTCCATTATCACAGGTTGGCGATCAACAGTTAGGCCTAAATAAATGTACCATCCTACCATATGCATTAATCTTAACTATAATATCAAAACCAATACACGTTAACTGAATAATTAAAGCTAGACAAGATTACACTAGCAAAATAACTGTAATATTAAACTAACACAACATAAGGTTGAGCATCTCTTATTTTAACTAGCACATAGTATTTTCATTTCACTACCTTATTATTGGGTGTGCTCTGCTCTGTGTTAATTACTGAACAGGTTATAAACAAAAGATGGCTAACGCAAGGGCGCAGCTGGCTACGTGCTATATAAATTAAGGTCAATGTAAAACTAAACAATTAAGTAAGCCAAAAAATAAATGGTGTTTCCATTACAAAATAGCTAGCCTAGGTGATACTACTGATCTCGATTATAATGGCTGGATTGCTTATTGATCTATCCTTCTACAGAAAAACAAATTGACGCCACCGGGTACCATGTTTATTTAATATTATTATTATTTAGAAATCCTAGCACAGATAGTTAGGGGGTCGGAGTTTTCTACACATCGCCTTGTTATTGCTACACTTTGTGAACCAGGAAATGTTCCAACTAGGGAGTTTCAATGTATTTAGTATATTGTGAGTTGGTCCAACCCAGGATGTGTACTTGGTTGTAAATTTCCTGCATAATAGCTACTATATGAATCTTTTTTTTTTTCTTTTCAGAAAGAAGACCATGTATATCGCTTTATCATGCGTTTTGGTGTTTGTTTCATCGAGCTACGGACAGAATGAACTTGAACAGGTCAGTGCTGGAATAAGAGCCGGAAATGCGATCGTTCAAGCTCTTGGTGATGAACAATATTCAAAGAATTTTGGTAAAATCGGCGTGATAGCGTCGAAAATTGGACCATTCCTGGGTGCCATTGGTCCAGCTTTCTTGCTGATTTCCGCATTCTTGCCAGGGTCGCCGTCTCCGGAATTGCTATATATGAAGAGAAGATTCAAGGAAATGGACGAAAATTTTGACAAAGTGTATAAAGAGATTGGCGAAGTGAAAACTCTTATTGAAAAAGCATCCTTATTTACTCAGTATGGAGAATATGAACACACAATATTGATTGTGTCTGATCTCCTACAACAGTTTCTGAATGGTACAACTTATGCAGTACGGGAAGAACTAAAGAATACATTTATTGATGCTTACGAGAATACTTACGACAATGCTGCATTGAGATTCTGGCAAGGTATGACATCTGAACTTTATGTGGCGAATAACATTCCGAAAACAGCCATGTTATATACACAAAACCACCGGGGGCAGGTTCAAAGACTTATGAAAGGAATTACAAACTTAATAATAAAGGGAGTGAAAGTAGAATTATCCTACATGATAGCCAAAGGTCAAAATTCCACATATGAACTTGTTAAGAATACTTGGGAGGTCAGAATCAAAGAGTTAATTACCCATATGGAAAATGCAGACCGAGAAGTGACTAATCGTTGGCCTGTACAGTCCACAGAAGATTTAGATAACAATTTGATATCGTTAAAACACCTAAGTCACAAAAAATTCGCGGAGGAATTCTATAAATTCCTCATTGAAAAATATGATTGGAGAGATTGGCACGTTGTTGTTTACAACCAAATTCAAAGTGCAGAACATTATGTGCATTTGTGCCGCGGGTATGAATCCCTTCACAAGCATGGCAGAAATGTTGCCATGGCAAGCGTTAATCAAACAATAGGTCCCATTCTTAAAGCACACGTTCGTAACTTGCTCAGAGGTGTCTCAACAAATTTTTATCATTCTAGTTTTGGGGGTAGGGTCGAAATGAAAAAAACCCTTGTTTCTAGGAATGCTAAGGACATTTACGATAATTATTTTCCGAATCAAATTAAGGATATTTGCACCTATGCATCAGCAGGCGCCATAAAGTCAAACGCAAACGTTCATCACAAGGCACTAGATAGTCGTTTTACTTCTGTCGTCAATGGAGAGTACATTCTTCATGCATTTGGGGGCGAGAACGCTTTAACTATGTCCAATTTTATCGGCAGTTTTAATTTTTTTCTTCTACCTATACATCTAATAACCACATATCCATATTGTTGCATTAGTGTTTGAAGTTAGATTTTTTTTAAAATCAAGAGTGAAAAGTGGAATGTTTAATTAATTTCAAGGCAATTAAACACTTAATTTATTTGTTACTGTGACGTACGGGACTTTTGAAAATTAGATGTGTTGATGAAAATATAAATGGACAAATGTATAAACAAAATCAATTGATTCCCATTCTTGTTAAAAATCTTAAGTAATGAATGTTACATTACTTAAGATTGACTTTTGAAAATTATATGTGTTGATGAAAATATAAATGGACAAATGTATAAACAAAATCAATTGATTCCCATTCTTGTTAAAAATCTTAAGTAATGAATGTTACATTATAAACCCTTTTATAACAAAACCAATATCCTCTCCTACCCCTCATTAATCTATTAATAGTCATATAATATTTACAATTGTTAGGTTTCCATCATATAAAATGTTCTCCAAAAAGAATATCGTCATTGCACAAAATAGCATAAGTTGGTGTATTCTATCTATGGAAAAAATGTCCCATACGTCACGGTGACGAAATTTACATATTTTTTTTTTTATTTTTTACTGCGTAAAAATTATTTGACAGATTCGTACAATACTTTGACATACATTAGTCAGACAGATACAATATCTATGAATATTGGTAAAATAATTACACTATTGCCACTTTTGGAGCATTTTACATGCTTAAGTCACTTTGACTTCATGTCCCGTAAGTCACAAAACATTGCAGTTAAACCTTGTTAATGAAGGTATATAAACTATTCAAACTATTTTACTGCGTAAAAATTATTTGACAGATTCGTACAATACTTTGACATACATTAGTCAGACAGATACAATATCTATGATTATTGGTAAAATAATTACACTATTGCCACTTTTGGAGCATTTTACATGCTTAAGTCACTTTTACTTCATGTCCCGTAAGTCACAAAACATTGGAGTTAAACCTTGTTAATGAAGGTATATAAGGTATATAAACTATTCAAAAAGTCCAGTTTGCTTCAAGAGAGTTCAGCAGAACAAAACATATTCATGATCTTACAAATGACCCTAATTGATTTCTAATTCAACAAAAAACTTTTTCTCTGATAAAGTTTCCTTCATAACACCAAACTTATGAATTTACTCATTTGTTTTACATAGACAGTTCTTGTCTGAAGTATTAAAGTATTATAAATTGCTAGTAAAAACAATTCAATTTGTTTACCAGTAATTTAATAAAATTGACATATAATGTAGGCAGGATTAAAAGGAAATCCTACACTATGCAAAAGACCAATGCAAGAAGTTGTAAAGTGATTGCAGTTTTAAATAATCATCTATGTATCACTCCAGGGTCTCTATAAATTAAATGGATTTTGAAACATTTACATATTATACACCATTTGAATTTCAGTATAGTGAAAAACAGGGCCCCCGTGACTATTTTTTGGGGACCAAGGTTTCTCTGCTGATTTAACATCACCAGGGTATGAATAAAAAAAATTAGCGGGGTGAGCCTCCTGAAAAAGGGCGGAACATGTTTTTTGGCGGCCATTTTAAAAATGGCCGCCAAAATTAAGACAATGGCTCATAACTTTACTTCTACTCTATAAAAAGGGTAAATCTGGTGTCTAACTATATGTTATTAGGGTCACTGAATTGAGACATGTTTCAAAAACCTAGGATGGCAGCCATTTTGAAATTCAAGATAGCTGCCGTAATAATCGTTGAAAATCAAATATTCCAGTGTAATTTAATTTATTCTCGTTGAAAAATGGTAAATTTGATGTATTCTCATGTGTTATTGGGTTCTGCAAGTCCAATAATCAAAGTTTCAATAAGGTAGATGGCCGCCACAAAAATCGCCGAAAATCAAATATTTTGGTATATAATTGCACTTCTCGATAAAAATGGTAAATTTGGTGTCTAATGACTTGATATGGGGCAATCTGAGTCCAATTAACATAGTTTTAAAAGGGTGACAACCATACTCTTTTTCCAATATCACTGAGTCCAATGAGCATAGTTTCAGAAAGCTAGAATGTCAGCCATTTTGAAATTCAAGATGGCCGCCACAAAAATCGTCAAATATCAAATATTTTGGTATATACAATAATTCCACTTCTCAATAAAAATGGTAAATTTGGTGTCTAATGACTTGATATGGGGCAATCTCAGTCCAATTAAAATACTTTTTAAAGGGTGACAACCATACTCTTTTTCCAACATGTCTGCCATTAATATGTACACATTTTACCTTACAAAGTGCAAAAATAATAAAACATTAGAAAATAATACTACTACTTTATTATACAATAAAACATAAGCATTTGCTTGATCAACCTGTCTGTCTGGAATAAATCATAATTAGGTTCATACGTCATCATTCTCGTTGTCAGAGGACGATTCATCGCTTGTTTCATCATCACTCTCATCGCTACTGTCACAATCATTTCGTTCTGGAACTTTAATATCACTGGGTAGGTTTGGCTCAGTACTTCTTTCGGCATAGCACTTTCCATTAATCAGTTTCCACCCACTTTTTGTTGGTGATTGGTGGATTCTTAATGAGAAGTTTAATTGATTGTATGATAGATAGTTGGCTCTTTTAATTTTTAAAATGGCCCCCAAAAAAATGTTCCGCCCTTTTTCAGGAGGCTCAACCCCGCTTACTTTTTTTTATTTATACCCTAGTGAAGCCAAATAAGCAGAGAAATATTGGTCCCAGAAAAATGGTCACGGGGCCCTGTTTTTCACTATACTACGATAAATGATTTTTTTTTTTAAATATGTACATTTCAAATAAACAATAAAATGATACATCCAAACCTATATAGAGCCACATTTACACTAGACACGATTACGACACGACAACGACATATCATCGCGTAGTTTGTATTCTTTAACACAGCGCGCATCTGTGTCGTTTCGTTGTCGTGTCATAAACATGTCTAGTGTAAACGAGGCCTTAGAAAGACCGACCATGAAAATATAGTCAACTTACCATCTTTCCCCAGGCAAAAGCCCATGGTATGAATTTTACAAATATTATCAGAAAACATGGTTTTGAATTAGGTATATATTGCTTGTAAAATTTAATAAAACATGTATTGATATGAAAATAATTATCATGAACATCACTACTACACGGAGTCTTACCCAAAGGACAATGATGTGAGCTAACTATGCAATCTATACAGAAATGATGAAATATTGTGTTTCATTAAATTTTATTGGTTTTTCTTTTAAAATGGGCCATGTTTAGTTTTGGCTGATTCACACCAATCAGCTATTATAAATGTACATCTAGCTTAAGCCATCTACAAGCATCATTTAGCAGACACACTTTTGATTGCAAAAATGGAATATATCAGTTATTTTCAGGTATTTGAATTCAAGTTCGTAGCTACTATAAACTGATATAGGAGCTATATATTTGATAGTTCATATTTTTTATTCCAAATATGCTTCATATGATCAGCTATTTTGAAATACCTGCTATATTTTGATAGTTGGACATTTTTTATTCTAAAAATGCTTTATATTTGCTATATACAAACATCTTCAATTATGTTTCTTGCTACACTGATTATAGCTGCTATATTTGATAGTCGATATTTGTGATTATATGCTTTATATAAGCTATTTTGAAGTATTTGAATTGAAGTCTGTTGCTACACTGATATTGCAGCTATTTTTGATAGTTAATAATTTTTATTCTAAATATGCTTCATAGGTTTAGGTTTTGTTGCTACACTGATGTAGCAGCTATATTTGATTATAGTTGATAATAGCTGCTATATTTGATGATAGGTAATAATGATATTTGATATCTTTTTCACAACTTTCGTAACAATTTTGATTCTCTTTCTATTAATATGTTTTAAAAAAGAAGCCTTTATCTGTATTCAATAATACTGTACCTTTTAATTTAACTTGTGTTTTTTATTTTGGTTCGATAGTTTTCTTTTGTCTGCTTTGATTCAGTTAGACTATCTTGTCATTGTTTTTTTTAATTTACATTTAGTTACTTTTGAATTTTATAATGTAAACACTTTTTGTTATATTTACTGTATGCACTAGGGCTTCCTTGGAAAGAAGTGCTAGTCACTGAATAGATACTCCCTTGGTTAAAGGAATTTTAAATAAATAAATGCTTTATTTCTGCTATATAGAATATCTTTCTGTTGCTACACTTATATAGCTGCTATATTGATAGTTGATATTTTTTATTATTTTTGATGAAAACTCTTTATATCTGCTTTATGAATGTACGTTAAATTAAATTAAGTCTGTAGCTACACTGATATAGTTGATATTTTTTAATTTGGAATTTTCTATCTGGTATTTTGAAATTTATGAGCTTAATTATGTTGCTACACTGATATAGCTGCTACATTTGATAGTTGATATTTTTTTTTAATTATTTTTGATGAAAAATTTATATCTGCTATATTAAATTGTTATGAAATTAATTCTGTAGCTACACTGATATAGTTAATATTTTTAATCTTTAATTTTCTGCTAAATTGAAATTTCTTAGCTTATGTTGTACACTGATATAGCTGCTATATTTGATTGTTGGTATTTTTTTTATTATTTTTGATGAAAACATCTTATATCTGCTATATGAATTCGTTAAATTAAATCTGTAGCTACACTGATATAATTGATATTTTTGAATTTTGAATTTTCTATCTAATATTTTGACATTTTTTGAGCTTAAGTATGTTGCTACACTGACATAGCTGCTATATTTGATAGTTGATATTTTTGGAAATGTTTTGTATCTGCTACTTCGGTTTAAACACTAATAAAGCTGCTGTATTTGATAGTTGATATGTTTGATTATTTTTGATGAAAACCCTTTATATCTGCTATATAAATTCGTTAAATGAAATTAAGTCTGTAGCTACACTGATATAGTTGATATTTTTGAATTTGAAATTTTCTATCTGCTCTTTTGAAATTTCTTAGCTTGTATGTTGCTACACTGATATAGCTGCTACATTTGATAGTTGATATTTTTTTTTTTTTGATGAAAACACTTTATATCTGCTATATAAATTTGTATAAGTCTGTAGCTGCATTGATATATTTGATATTTTTGAATTTGGAATTTTCTATCTGCTATTTTGAAAACACTAATGTAGCTGCTGTATTTGATAGTTGATATTTTTGATTATGTTTGATGAAAACACTGTATATCTCCTATATAAATTCGTTAAAAGAAATTAAATCTGTAGCTACACCGATATAGTTGATATTTTTGAATTTGAAATTTTCTATCTGCTATTTTTAAATTTCTTAGCTTGTATGTTGCTACACTGATATAGCTGCTATATTTGATAGTTGATATTTTTGATTATTTTTGATGAAAACAATATCTGCTATATGAATTCGTTAAATCGAATCTGTAGCTACACTGACATAGTTGATATTTTTGAATTTTGAATATTTTCTATCTACTATTTTGACATTTTTTTGCTTAAGTATGTTGCTACACTGACTTAGCTGCTATATTTGTAAATGTTTTGTATCTGCTAATTGGTTTTATATCAACTTTATGATTGTAAGTCTGTTACTACACTGATATAACTGCTATATTTGATATCTTTGATTCTAAATGTCCTTTATATCAGTTATATTAAAATATTTGAGGATTGCCTATTGCTATATTGAAATAATTTTATTTGATATTTGATGTTAGTGATTTTTAATGCGCTTTGATTAAACTTGCTGCTACTCTGATGTAGATGCTACATTTAATAGTTGTGTTTTTTTTTTTTAATAATGTAAGTGATACAGTACATGGTATAAATAAGCAGGGGTCCCAAGTCTCTCGGAACTAGTTGGAGTGTCCTGAAAATCAGTACGGTGTACCCACTCACACGAGCAAGTAAACTATTCTGTGAGAAACTTACCACGTTGCGATAAACAACAATGTAGCCAATCAGCGTCATTGTGCCTGCACCACTTGTTGAGCTTGCCGCTGTCGGGTTTCTTTTAATGATTACATTTTTGGAAGCGCAGTTAAGTTATATTTGACAGAGCTAGAATGCTTTAGTTTTGTCTTAAATTGCATGCGTATGTGTGTGTGTATGGTGCATCCAGCAAATAAAAATCTTCAACGAAAATGACGCAATAACAAAAACATTGCTATACATCTCTGGCATTAAATGTACTAATAAATCACCCAGTTTATAAAGCAAAATACCCAAATACATTGGCTGCTGTTGCCCTAGCATCTTCATTACTTGAAATGACATCATCACAAATATTGCAAGATTTTTCCTGTAGTGTAATAAAGGACATTTGGGGAATTCTTACAGCTGGTGATAAAAAGAAGCTTAAACCAGAAGCTTATGATTTGATCTGCCCACAATTTCATGTGTACATCACATCAAGTTCCACCAAACAACAATGGATTCAAATTGTACATTCCTTGAATTTACAACCTAATAACCATGTTCATAATTTTTTGGCAAGAACATTGTTAAAATTAGTAATGGTTGACCGTACTCAGCTACTTTTCTTAAGAATATATCTGCTAGATATTCTTGTATTATTGCAACAAAATATTATCTTCTACTTTCACATCGAGGGATAAATGTGACGCAGCATACTAGTGTAGTTTAGAGGGTTTTTTCACTGCTACACAACTAAGAATCCAATCATTTCATCGTAAAACTAATTTTTACAAGGTAATCTTGCCTCTGAGATGACCCTTCGGTACACAAAAATGTTTTACTATCTACTAATCAACACGGTACAAGCAAGACTTTTATTGGAGCCTGTAACAGCTTTCTAATTGACAAGTGAGATAAAATTACTTACATGCATGCCAGCCAATGAGAGATTGTGGTCATGTTGAATTGCAGGTGGGAGTTCATCCAATAACCATTATCACTATTCAAAAGCAGAAACTTGGTAAAGGACCCCTAATAATGATTCATGTTTTGGTTCAATCATTTCAATAGTTTCCGAGATGAAATTATTTAAAATTTCAGCAAATCAGTATAATATGTCTAATTTAGCCCTCAAGGCCGTGATGAACTTTATGTTCAGCACAAAGAAATGCAAATGGTGTAGACCGTCAATGGGAAGGACATGTTTCGTTCCACTTGACTAAGTGGTTTCTGACAAGAAAAGTTTTTAAACATTCCCTATTTCACTACTATTTTAAACTATGACCTATGGTTGTAGCGACCTTGGATTTCTAATTGAGACAAAAACACAAAGTTAGTCAATGATTAAGGATCTTCTTTTTAAATACAAACATTTGGATGGAAAATGTTATAGGGATAGCTCTTCAAAAATATAACGCAGAAGCAAGCAGGTGTCTTTAATATTTGTATAGGTCATAATATTAAAAGAATTGAGGCCTATGTCCAACATGTCTATTTCACAGTGATTGGCTGTTGTAGTGGGTTAAGGACAAAGCCTTATTACATTTCTATAAACTTTCTCCTGTCTCTGGGGTAAAAAATCATGTATTTACTGTCCGAGGTGAGTGTTGGCAGAGTATCACCTATACGTATCCTGGATTATAAAAAAAGGGAGGGGTGGGGTTCTGAGCATGAGATTCTTCAAATGGAATTACACCCATCAAATTTTAAAAATTAGTACGTCCACATCCCAAGAAATTGAACTCTCAGAGCATAGAGCAGCAACTGAGGCAGGTGTCTCCAATGGTGATATTCAAGGGTGTATTTTAATGCTCTGGAATGGTATTTTAGTGATTTTTATTATCGTAATCACTTCTATAGTACCTGACCGAAGTGACATACAGACGTTCTTATCCATGGATCTGAACATTTGAAAGACGGGGTGAAGGACGCCCCACTCGCAAAATATATTCTTTCATGCATGAAGTTGATTGATAGCATTTTGAAAGTGATTTTTTGAGGTGTCAATAACTCCTAAAATGCCTATGTACGCCGACATTGTGATAAAGTCAGTTAAAAAAAAAACAAACTGATACAAAAAAGCCTAATTTATTGAATCCGCCACTGATATACACATAGATCTATGGTAAACTATATTCTGCGTTGGCAGCCATCTTCGGTTTCCAATCGACACTCACACAAAAATTAAAAAAAAAAAAAAAAAAAAAAAACACAAGCTTTATTCTTGAAAAGACAAGGTCCAATCTTGTGAAGGCCATAATCCCATTTTCTTTGCATATTCAGTGTTTAAAACTAGTGGCCCATGAGGGCCTGTATTGTACAGAATATAAAATGTTTATTGGTCTTGTGAAAGTAAATATACTGTAAAAGAAATTACTTCGTTTCATTCAAAAACGGTACACATTATTCGAAAAAGAACAATAAAGAAAAGATAAAAACATTAAAAATATTAGGTTAATTATGAGTTGAAATAATAAATACTGTAGTTGTATTGCACTTAGGATATGAGCAGAAAAGAACAAAAATCAGTTACTATACAATACATTGCTGAGGTATGGAAAACATTATTTGGTATAAAATTATTATACATTGAAATACAGTACATAAAAATTAGTAATATGTTGTAATTGCACTTGAGTTGAAGAATATTGAGTAGCAGCAAGTCAGGATTAGTTTCTCTTGACTATTGCATTATGGAGTTGCATGGCATGAAGCTGGTTTTCCACTTGGTGCATTTATTCATTTTCGCCATGAACAAATTGCGAGAACACATCAAAAGCGGTTGCTTTGTGCTTTTCTTTCATTATATTGGTGGACACCCGGAAGTGGATGCACTACATTGGATTTCATTAACTTTGATTGGCTACGCACTTCTTCGCTTCGAATTTTGGTGACGATCCGGAGTAGGGTGTGGATATAATAACCACCATGTTTAAATGATAAACATCCCAGACCTGATATCACAAAAACCGATCAACTTAGGCCTATTTAATTGAAAATTATTACATTTTGATGACGGTTTAGACTTGGGCATATCATTTCAAATGCCAGCGACACAGACCTGAATATCTCAAAAACTGATTCATAAATCTAATTAAGACATTATAGAATGGATTCTCATGGTTCAATAAAGAAATTAATTAATTTTGGTGACGTTGATGAGGACCATTTAAAGAAAACGTCCCAGACCAAGATGTTTGAAAAGCTCATAAATGGATCTGTGTTACAGGGGTGGCGCCAGCAGGGGGCCGGGGGCCAGGGCCCCACCGTCGGGGAGAGCTGGCCCACCCGTCGGGCAGAAAAAGTACAATTCGTCGGGGATAAAAAAATATTATATGTATATTTTACATATTAGTAGACTCTAAAATCGATTAAATAAGCATTTGAAACCCCTAAATTGTCGAATTTTCAGGGGCTTCGTCCCCATGACCACTTCCGGACCCTTTTTATTGAAGCTCGACCACGCCCACTTTACTTTCGTCAGGGAAATCTGACACCTCCTCGGGGGCTGTCTCTTATACACATCTAGATGTGTATAAGAGACAGGTTTGTTGGCTGTCAGTGGACAGTTAAAGGCCATCAAATTTTTAATTACCTTCAGTTTATCATAAAATTCTTTTTGTTTGAGCTAAAAATACTTATGAATGCCATTTGTAATGTTTGCTGGATTGTAAAGTGATGACAACACACAGACTATAAACTATTATTTAACATAACATGTAGTTTATTCAGATATGCCAGTAGGTACCTTGGATCGGTTCCATGAGTGTGCCTGCGTCTGTATACACGACTGACGCACGTCACTAACGTGACGTATCACAACATCCCCTCCTTCAAAAAGTTTTACAGTTATTCGTTATTGCTTAAATAGCAATACTGTACAACAAGCCTTAAACATTGTCATATGATTTCTAAAGCTTACAAGGTCAGGAAGTTATACTTACGGGGTGACTTCAATGTTGATGTGGCAAGTACGTCATCCAATAATAACTGGGTTAAACAATTTTGCGATATTATTTAATTTCACCCAACTTATTAATGATTATACTAGGGTCGCAGAGACAACCTCAACAGTCATTGATCTTATATTTGCATCAGATCCAGGTAAAATATCTCAATTCGGTGTCTTGTCTTTGGGAGTGAGTGATCACTTCTTGATCTATTGTAGTAGAAAATGAGTCAAAACTCAAATTAAAAAACACAAAACAATTACTATTCGATATATGAAGAGATATTCAGCTGAAAACTATTCTAACCTTATTGAAATCAATTGGACCGATGTACTAAATGCTACTGACGTTAATATTGCCTGGTACAAATTTAAGACGAAATTATTAGCAGTAATTGATGAGGTTGCTCCTCTACTAAATTGTGTAAGGACTAAGCAACGATCTGAGTCATGGTTGACTACTGAAATTATAGATCTTATAATTCAAAGAGATAAATGTTTATCTAAATTAAGAAAAAAATAAAACAGAGACACTATTTTTCTTATGCAATTAAAAAAAATCTTGGAAACACTGTACGTTACAAAATTAAAAAAGCAAAATCGAACTATTTTTCTGACCAACTTAATGGAATAAATTACCTTATAATAGTAGAGCACCACGTCTGACCAGGATATTTTTTCCTTATTTGGGAGGTTCTCGACCAATCAGAAGCCTGCATTTAGCATCACGTGACCTTAATTTGCATAAAATAAGGAGCAGGACTATTCTATTTATGAGTAGAGGTGTTTAAATTATTATTCCATTTTTACCACAGGGGTGTTTAAATTATTATACTATTTTTAGTACAGGTGTGTTTAACTCCATTTTGGAGCATGATGCTTACCCCTATTTCATTG